CCGCCCGGAGTGTCCCCCAATAGGTTCTTCTCCCTCTCCTATAAAAGCAGCGATAATCACGGCTGCGGAGAGCCGTCTGAAGGCGGCGACACGCACCCGCACGCTGGGGGAAGACGAGGAGACAACACACAACGATAACTGGTGAGATCCCGTCCCGACAGGCGTCCGTGCATCCTCTGTGTCTGTGCCTCACCCTCACCCTCTCTGTGATGTTTTTTTTGGAAATAAAATAGCAACGGCCGCACCCGCACCAGCGCCATGTGTGTGTTGGTCTGTCTCCTGTGTTGCAGCCTCCCTCATGCTGTCCCACGTGTCGATGCTGCTCTGTACCTGTTGTTGCCGTCGTACGTACGTTGGTGATCATGTGCCTGCACTGGTGTGGTCAGGCCAGGCCAGGCCCTGCCTGTTGTCCTTGCCGTATAGTCCGGAGTCTTTTCTTCTGGCTGCTCGGCTGTATGGTGGTGCTACAGCAGTGCTGGGCTGGTAGAGGTGCAGGCATTGTGCACGCACTTGCCCAACCCCTTAACTTCATGTGTCTACCCTCCATGTTCGCGTCGTGGGACCCGTGGCCTGCCGTGCGGTAGTGTCATTGCTAGGAATGCTTCCATCCAGTGCTGCTCTGTCGGCCTCTTACGGTGCTCGTCATGCTGGCGCTGCGGGAGCCTTTGCGGGCTACCCTGTACAAGCCCACCCCGTACAGCAACAACAGCAGCAGATATTGACCACCAGCCCTCCGCCGGAAACGCAGGCGAGACGGGTTGATGTTTGACAAGTGCGGTTCGACGTGACACCGGCAATGTTTGTTCCGTGGGTGTAGCACGCCAGTGGATTGTCGCTGCTGTGCTGTACCTCGTGCCTTTCAACGCGTGCACGTACGGTTCGCTGTTTTCGTGTACTCAGCGGTGGACGGCGAAACGTTTCATTTGTCTTGTCTTGTGATCAAACGTTGACATGGTGTCCTTCCATTCCGCCGCGTGGTGGGTTTCGCGTGCGGTTGCAGGCCATGCTTTCACCTCGCACTGGTCTGCCGTTGGGAACTCCGGCCCCTGTGGGTGCTCCCGATGCTGGGGCCGCCGGAGGTTTTGCGGGCTACCCTGTACAAGCCCACCCCCGTACAGCAACAACAGCAGCAGACATTGACCACCAGCCCCCCGCCGGAAACGCAGGCGAGACGGGTTGGTGCTTGACACGTGCCGTTCGGCGTGACACCCACAATGTTTTTTTGTGTGCTTTACTTGATGTTGCTGCTGCTGTTCCCCTTGGCCCCATGAAAAGAGCACCGGTATCTGGCATTCCCCCGGTCCACATCAAGGCTCCCTGTAGAGGCCCTGCCATTGTTTCCGTGGGTGTAGCACGCCAATTGATTGTCCCTGCTGTGCTGCACCTCGTGCCTTTCAACGCGTGCACGTTCGGTTCGCTGTTTTCGTGTACTCAGCGGTGGACGGCGAAACGTTTCATTTGTCTTGTCTTGTGAATCAAATATGGGGCAAGGAAGATTGAACTCGTTGGAGTAGGTCTACAGTGGCTCCCGTCGTATCCCACGGTTTGTCATGGTTGGTAGTCATGATGCCGCATGACGAACGCCCCCTGAAGCGTGGTACTGCTGTCGCCTCCACATTGTTACCCTGTTTGTCTGTGACACGCCACTTATTTTTGTGCTCCCGGCTCTCCCATACGGCGCAGGTCATGGGATGAAGCCAAAAGAGGTGACGAAAGCAATGAAGGCGTTGCACGAGGACAGCGACATCGACATCAACAAGCGCGCGGTGCAGAACGCAGCTGCCATTGTGCACGGGGCGGAGAAGCCGAGAGATGCTGCCGATGCGTACGAAGAGGTGTGTCCATGTGTCCGTTGAGACTGTTGCCTCTCTTGTTTGTGTGTGGGATGTTGGGTTTTGCTCAAGGCGGTATCCGGGCGACAAGACACATACGATCGCAGGTGACAACCGGGAGAATATATGCCCCATGACACCAAACCAAGAAATGTTGGAGGTAAAAAATGTGTGCCGTGCCGTCGTCGTGGTTTTGCGCTGATGCCCTCGATGTTTCCGGGCGCTTAACATGTTGCAATTTCAGGTCATGGCCGCGACGGCCGACGGCGGAGTGTGCGAGATCAAGATGGATGACAGCGGCCGCCTGACGCACATCTGGTGGCAAACGAGAGAGCAGGTAGGTCGCCGGTCGTTGTGCCCCATACGAATATTCCCCAGCCGGAAGGTTTGCTTTCATTTTAGCATCTCGCACGTACCGCTTCGCCGTCCGCAAATGTAGGACGTCTGACCGAAAGCACGCCGTAGGCAAGGGTGGGGGTGCGTTGTGACGCGTCCAACACACGTCACACCCACAATTAAGTGCTCTCGATCCCCTTCGACGTCATGCTCCGAATACGCAGGTGGCGCTTTGGAATCGGTACGGTCACGTTGCGCTCTACGACGACACCGCTGTCAAGAACAGATACCGTATGCCTCTCGGTGTGCTCGCTGTCGTCGATTCGGAGTATCGGACGCGGATCGTCGGCCAAAGCATAACGGCCGACACCACAACGGACACTTTCCTGTGGATGTTGAAGAGTGCGTTGGAGTCTCGCGGGAAGCAGCCGGATACCTTCATCCAGGACGCGGACGCGGCGATGACGGCGGCGGTGCGAGAGGTGTTCCCGGACGCGCTGGCGAGGCGCAATTTATGGCACCTCAACCAGAACGTTATCAAGGCCCTCGCTAAAGTCCTTGGTGGGTACATGAAGGTGCGCTCTACTGTGTGTGTTGGCGTGGTTAGTCTGGCCTCTCGTATTGTCCTGGTCGCGCGACGTACGCTGCCCACTCTAGCCCCCCTCCCCCACTCCCGCTTGTATCCCCTGTGCGAGTTGGTGCGTTGTCATGGATCAGTGTCGCCTACTTGGAAGAGTGATATCCAGCGTCTCTGCGTAGACCGTGATGCGGAGACGACCTCGGCTTCGACGGAAACATACCTCACGACGTCCAGTGCACACAGAAAAAGCAGCAGCAGCAGCAGCAGGTTGTAAGCACCAATGGTATGTCGCTGAGTTTTTTCAACCCTCTCCTCGTCTCGCCTTAGCGCTAACGAAGTGTACGGGGTTGTTGGTGGCAGTCAATCGTACAGACCGGGTAGCCCATATCGCAAAGGCCCCAACTCACGCAACACCCACCCGGCCCACGTCGTTTGTGTTTTCCGCAGCCTTTCATGGACGAGTTCAGGTGTGTGCGTCAGCAGCTGTCATTGGCGAAGTTCGAACGGAAGTTCAACGCCCTCATCGAAAAGTACCCGAAGGCGGAGAAGTACATGCAAGTAGTATATGACGACCGTGCACGGTGGGCGGAATATGTGTCGCCCCTGGTGTTCTCCGTGGGTTCGTGGACGACATCAAGAGTTGAAGGTGCGTGTATGCGTCATCTGCCATCATGAGCGTTTTGTTCGAGAACGACAGCGCATATAGCGTTGTCGTTGTTTTTGGGAGTTTTTCTACGTCTGTAGGGGTTGGGGGCGGCTATCTTCCTTGCCCCCTATTTACTATGCCATTGGTGAGTGCTTCTGGACGAATTTATCGTACGCCGTCAGTGGATGACCAGTAAACAACTCCCTACATGACGCTAATGTTTACGACCTCTTCGAAACATGTGGCTGTTGTCCGGCCCCTGTTGTTCGGGATTGATGTTCTTGGTCGGTGCACTGCGATCGTCCGGCTCACGTGTACATACATCTGTGGCGATGGGTGCGTCAAGTCATAGGCTTCTCTTTCAGTCGTTTGGCGTACTGCGACTTCAACGATGTCTGATGACACCAATCACTAACCTACGGTTTGGTTTGTGTGTCGCTTCTTGCGTGTTTGTCCGCCGCACACACAACAGGCCAAAACGCCCTCATCAGGGATAGGTGCAACTCGCGCTCCTCGCTTTTGGACGTGGCGAAGTACTTTTCGGGCATCATCTGTTCCCAGAAGGATGCCGCCATGCTGCGTGACGCAATCGACCATCTGCCGCCTAATCGGATGGCGGCTCCACCAGCGACCGCTTTCAAGAGTGTGCTCGAGTCCTGCGAGTTCTCCATCGCGGGCTGGCCGCGGCGGTTCATGGAGCAAGAGATGACCGCGGCCATCACGTTTTGCCAGATGGGTGGTGGGGAGGTGGATGGACCAGAACGCGCGGCAGCTTCGGGGCGCACGTTCGAGTACATCGAGGACAAGCTTTGCGACGCCATTTACGTCTTCGGGATTCACGAGCAGCGTGATGACAAGGCCTTCGACTACCTCGTCTTGCTCTTTTCCGACGGTAGCCATCTCTGCCAGTGCCGCACACTCCAAACTCTCAGGCTATTTTGTCGCCATGTGTGGGCGGCGATGATGTACAGCCCCCGATTCAGATTCCACGTAGGCCTCCTGCACGAGCACTGGCTGACGGAAAAGGCGAGGGGAACACCGCAGCAGGACTGGCCGGATGTCGCCCGCCCTCGGTGGGTGGTATCCAACCGCCACGCTGCGAGAGAAGTGGACGGAGGCGGCGGGAGAGGGAGAGGGAGAGGGGGTGGGGGGATGCAGCGGGAGATGGAAGTCTTTCGTTGGGAGCAGCCAGACGGTGCAGACGGTCCTGTTGGACTTGAAGGAGAAGGGGCCCACGGACCAGGATAGACAAGTGTTGTACGCCGACGTAACGAAGAAGCTCGGGCAAGCCGCGAGTATTTTGTCTGATCGCTTTTCACCGACAGTCGCCGTAGCCCTCGTGGACCAATTTCTGACGATGGTCAATGTGCAAGCAGGCGGGGTAGGAACTACAACGACGGGAGGGCGGGGGGCGGCTCTCTTCATGGCCAACCCTGGAACTGTTCGCCTGCCCGCTAGGACAAGTAATAAAAGACGACCTGGCGCTGCAGAAAGATACACAAGAGGGGGTAGCAAGAGAGCCGCGACTTCGGGGTCCCAACTCTAGTTTCGGTGTTGCATACTTTGGGGTACGTGAGTAGCGGTACGCGGCCCTAGGTTTACGACGTCACCGGGGCATATGCCTGAACGATGTTTTGTCCCCGCCCCGGCGGCAGGTCAAGGCTCGGTGTGTTGTTTATTTTTCGCTTCGGCGTTTTTGCGCCGATCGCCGTCTGTGATGTTGTCGATTTTGTGTTTGTATGTCTATTTGGTTGTTGCGGTGTAGCGTTCGATGGGGCCATCTGGTTCCTGTCCTGTTTTTATTTCTTTTGTTCCATTTCCTTTTCTTTTCTTTCTTCCGCCCCCTTTTTTGCCGTGTTGGGGTCATATCCAGGTCCTTTCATTTTTTTGGTGGGGGTCAGTCTATCATCAAATCGCTGTTGGATATTGATTGTTCTGTTTTGTTTTTTTCTGCGTCTATCTGTGCTTGTCGACCTGTGTGCTCTGCGAAGAAAACCGTGTGAGCCGCGTCTCGAGTTTGTTGAGCGGGCCTGCGGTGTGCGAACTAAACGATGCCTACAGATTTTGACGGCCCCATGATGACTGACATCCATCACGGCAGCACCGTGCAGCAGGTTATATCTACCAAAAAAAGAATACTGCTGTATGTAGTTCACAAAATCTACAGCAACAATTGCTTGCAGCAGCAGAAACGCACAACAACAGCAGCACCACACGCGGATAGACACACACACAGAGAGAGACGAGCACTCCTCTAAGTACGGGGCGTTGTGTGTCGTCGTGTCCTCCTGTTCCTCTGAGGCCTAGCGTCTCCTGGGCATCCCGGGTGCGAAGGGTGGCCTTGGCGTGAAATATGTGCCAGTATGGCAGTATGGACTGTTGAGGCTGTTGCTGCAGACGAGAGCTCTGCTTCCGAAGACAACGGGCGTTAGATCCAGGCTCCGAGATAATATTGAATTTGAGAGGGAGAGAGGAGAACCTCTTCGGGGACACTCCGGGCGGTTTCCCGGGGTTTCGATCCGTCCGGATGTTTGGACTGTGGTTCTCTTTTATAATCCATGGATTGCAAATATTCGCGCCCCATTTTTCTGCTCGCCACGCCACCCCCTCTGTCCACAATACTTCACGAGCACACATCATCAGCAAAAGTCTAAGTCACCAAGAAGACATACACAACCATGCTACGCGGAACGACGAGTCGCTTGGCTCTGCGGCTAACCCCTGAGTTCCGCCGCCAGCTCGCCACCGGGATGGTGATATCCTGCGACAATCATCAGCACCGTTTTTTCTCTTCCTCGTCCGAAGCTGCTGACGACGCGAATCGGCAACTCGGCGGGACAGTCAGGACCACGCGGAGGGAATTCGCAACAAAGAAGGAAATCGGGAAGGGCTTGGAGGAGGAGAAGATTCGACCTGGAGATCGCTCTCAGGTATCGACAACATGAATCCATTACCACCAGCCGTTGCGGGGTTTCAGCGGGTTTTTGCTTGCAGACCACATCCACCTCTCCTTGTACAAATATTGTGTGATACGAAGCGCGCGCGGATGTGTAAGGGAGGCCGCATCCCTGCCTGGTGCTCCTTCAGATTCCACTCTGGCGAGTACAGACCAAGCATGGGTCACTATTCAAAGCAGGTTCTAGCTCGTCTCTCGAGAGCAGTATTTCTATACTACGGAAGTCTCAACATTCGACGAAACATTTCACTCCGAACCGAACGTATGCATGGGTTACCAAAGACGGAGCGTTTTGTTAACGGCCTCAGACCCACGCAGCTAAAGCACCCGCTCGAGCAGTCGCAGATGGCACAGCGCAAAAGAACACGGAAAACGAAAGCTCAGACCAACCGCCAAACAATGCACATCATCAAAATCATTCACATCAAGTTCTGCTGGGGTAATTTTTTTTGTGCACGGTGAAACGAGGAGGCGGTACTGCTGTGTAATGCGCAGGTGGGCCAGTATGGATTCGACATCTTGTGTGTCAATGTTAAATCACCTGTGTGCCCTTTAACATCGGGCAAACCCACAGGTTCACTTCAGGGCGACGCCCACGAAACACCCGCTCGGCATGGGCTCGCCCAAGAACAGCAGCGTTTCGAGCGAAGGCGGTGGCCGCAGCAGCGGCGGGAAAGGGAAGAAGGGGAAGGAGTGGTCCATGCCTCACGAGATCTGGTCGGCCGAAGAGGTCAATAGCATTAAGGTGAGACGGAGAGAGGTCGGAAGACGGGGGACAGGGCCGATAGGCAGCAGACGGGAGGGACGACACACGTTCGACGAAATTCTACCAACTTTTGGCTAAATATATAGAAGTATTGCGTCCCCAAACCTGAAAATCCAAACCTGTGAAGATCCAAAATACAAAACGGAACCAACAACATACCTACCCTATACTGTATATAGATTGCTGCTCTGGAAGAGTGTTGGTCATCATGTTTCGCGACGAGCTTTTTGCTGTGGCAGCTGGCCGCTCTGGGAACGAGGAAACGGAAACGAAACGACCAGGGCCTCTAACCCGCGACCGTTCCTCGGACATCGCACATTCGCCGAAACAGCCGACCCACAAGGACCCGGAGGAGGCCGTGGACCATATCGCGCTCCGCGGGGTGAGGGCTCTGCGCTGGTTCTTTGACGTGCTGGCCGGCTTCAAGACGGGCGTCATCGACGAGCATAAATGTGAGTTCGCAACAGTAGTTCAGCTCAAAGTCAATTCTGAGTTCTTGCGGTCAGGCAATCCAGAAGTGACACCCGTGAAGAGCGGGTATGCAACACCCTACAAAGAGTGTACGCGGTGTGTGACCACCGTGTGTGCGTCACACACCTCGGCCTTATCACAGGGGTTTACGATTGTTTGTTCCAAGCCCTCCGTGGTTTTCGAGAACAATCCCACCGTCGACGTCATAACAATCCGGCTTAGCAGACCCGACAACCACATACATACCACAAGGGGGAACGCAATAAACCAGAACGCTTGTGCTTCCGAGAGACCATTAATATCCTGCCTCTTCGCTCCTTGACTTCACTACCGCAGCCATCGAGTTGCTGTGAAGTATATTCGCAAAAAACAACAAGAGACCTCAGGCGAAAAAAAACTTCCCACCCAACAAGGGTCAGGTCTGCGGGGCCCCTGTCTTCTGCTGGCACGGTGTCTCGCGCTGGTCGGCAAAGCAGCCACAGCTACCCCGTGGTGCGTGGAACCGAACGACTGACGGGGGCGGAACACGCCGCGTTTCTCCGGCTCTCCATGCACGACGGAGAGCTCTGACCGCCTTGTACTTCCGACGGGGACATCTGCTCCAGTCGGACACACGGCCGGCCACCGCAGTAGATAGGTCCTCGGGCGGGATGGGGGCAGCTTGTAGTAACTAGTGTCAGCAATAAGGCATGTGAAGAAAAACGAAACTGAGCTATATAGTAGGTTAAACGAACACCCCCCTCTCCGAGACCTACGCGCGTGTACCTACACGAGCCCGGGTGTTTTATTGTCGCCGTGCTTCTTGCGAGTGGTGCTCCCGCTTCCGGGCATGAAACTGAGAACCGCAACCCCCCCCGCTCGAAACACCCTTCCATACTCCGGACATTATGAGCCCCAGACGGCGTATTCTCGGGCGACAACGGTGGTGCGCGATGATGTTTCATGCAGTCAAACCTGTACAGGGCAGTGCTTCTGAATAGGGTTAGCATTCCGAGCTCGACGACCTTCTGTGTGACCTGCTGACGCGTGCAAGACCCCCCTTCCACCAGGGCGGTATGTCGCCGCACCCCAACCCCAAGTGGTGTATTCTCTGTCTCTCTCTCGCGATTCATGTACCGATTCTTTGTGGCCTCTCCGGCAGGCGAAAACCTCGAACCCCCCCCACCCACCCCACCCCGGGCCGGCGAAAACCCGGAATTTCGCTCTTTCCCGGCGTTGTAGGGATGCGGGGCTAATGGCCTCACGACTACGGCATGCATTTGCATGAGTTGACCCCTCCCGCTCTTCGTGCCCGTCGTCATCTGCATCGCTCGCGTTCTCCTGTCCCTTCGTGTTGAACTGTGGACCCCCACTGCCTCATTCACCCCCCACCGCTCCCGTTCTTAGCGCGCCGCTTGGTTTCTCCTGTCCAATCATGTTGACCCTTGTTTGTTTCCTTGTGTGTAACAGACCTGAACCGCGTCATCTTCCTCGAGACGGTGGCGGGCATCCCCGGAATGGTCGCGGGCACGCTCCGGCACCTCACATCCCTCCGCCGCATGCGCAGGTACAGCGTGCTCTCGTGCGTGCGGGTACTCGGAATGCCTGTTTGTGTGTTGTTGTTGTCTTTGCATCTTGTGTGTATTTGTGTTTTTGGCGTTGCCGCCCGGCTGCCCAATCGGAAGAAGTAGACAGCTCCACAGAAGAAATCAACGTACCGGCAGGGGATACGTTGTTTGATGATTCGACGGGATCCCTGACCGCGGAGAAGGCTGACCACCAGAGCTCCAGTTAGTCCCAGGGGTCAAAACGCACAGATGGCTCGCGGAAGGTGTCTTCCCAACTTTGTCACTCTCTTCCACACGCTCTATTTTTTTAGCTACTCATTAGTCTCGACGGCGAACAAACAGAGAGAGGGGTTTTCATCGAAAGCGGATCTCCTGGGGCTGTGCCTACGCAAAGAGAGTCAGGTTGTCACGAAAAAATACCAGGCAGGGGTCACGCAGACCGTATCCCCAACCCCAACCCGAACTCCAACCCCAACATACCCGAATCTATACTTCATTCAGTATGTGTGCTCTACGGGATATCTTTTTCTACCGTACGTGCTGCTGTGGCACCTCACACCGGCAAACGTGCGCGCAGGGACCACGGGTGGATCCACACGCTGCTGGAGGAGGCCGAGAATGAGCGGATGCACCTGCTGACCTTCCTCAAGCTCAAGCAGCCCGGCCCTGTCTTCCGCTTCGCGGTGATGATCTCCCAGGGGGTCATGTACAACGCCTTCTTTTTGTCGTACCTCATCAGTCCCAAGGCTTGCCACCGTTTCGTGGGCTACATCGAGGAGGAGGCCGTGCACACCTACACGGTGGTAAGGGGTCATTAACCACATCCATCCGTTGTGGTAGTAGCTGCCGATGGCCAGTCGTTCCTTCCTACTCAGCGAAAGGTGGATCAATTTTCTTTTCCCTATCCTATCTATCCCGAGGAGGATCGGGGGTTTTGGACTCGCCGATCCTTGCGTTGTAACGGGTGCGTATGCTGCCGGCTATCAAAAACGTCGTCCATGCCTTGTACCACGTGGAATGCGCTTGTGTGTGTCGAGCATCAAACCCACGGCCAACACAAACGCACGAATCTCTGTCTCTCATCCACAGCTGCTGGAGGACATCGACGCCAACAAGCTCCCTCTGTTCAGCAACCTGCCGGCGCCGGCCATGGCCAAGAGCTACTGGAAGCTAGGGGATGACGCCATGTTCCGGGACCTCGTGTTGGCCGTCAGGTAAACAATAGCCTACCTCATTAGTTCGGAACATGGCTGACGGGACCAGATGCCACAGGCATAGGGCCATGTGCACTAGTCGTTGGTTCTGCACACCACTTTAGGCGCGTGTGTCACGCGGACCGAATGCCGCACAGAAAAAAGTGCCGCATGATGCGCGCTGTGTTGTTGGTTCTGTTCCCTGCCCTGACGGACGTCTTAACTCCATGTAGAAAATTTAACTTGCTGCTGCTGTCAGTGCTACTACTGGTGGTGGTGGTAACGCTTGAAGCTTAATGCCCCTGCTATTTCCCTGCGTCGTGCTATGCCCTTCTTTCTTGTCGAAAAGGGCGGACGAGGCCAACCACTGCGTCGTCAACCACACCTTCGCCGACATGCACCAGGAGTTCAAGCAGGATGCGGTGAGCTACATGCATGCTACCAACGCCCAGCTCCCGCCCCCCGATCTTGCGATTGGTGCCTTCCCCTTGCTGGTCTCGTCCTTTTGGTTTCTTTCGACCAGGCAAACCAATGCGGAATCGAACCTTCGGCCTACGGGTCGTCTGTTGTTCATCGGATCGTCTCTCTTTCGTTTTCTGCCTTGAAAGCGTTGGAGTGTACGAATCATTCGTCTTACCGTGTTACCCTTCCGGCAGGAAACCCCCGCCCGAGGCAGCCTCTACCGTGGACGTTCCCTCCGCGGTAGCGTCATCTTATCCAAACGTCTACGTTCCCAACATGTTTCACTTGTGGCATGGTATGCCTTGTCCTCGGGTCTTACGTTCCCAACGTCTGTCGCTCGTGGCATACACTATGCCTTCTCCGCGCAGGTCAACCCTTTTAGCATCCACGCGAGCGTTACCAAGTACGCGGACGCGGGCGTAACGCCGCCGACGGTGGCGGACATCGCCAACGGTGACGCCGACGACATCGCGGCCGGCAACACTAACGGGAGGAGCACAGACGTTAACCCCGCTTCCTCGCAGCCGCAGCCGCAGAAGCCTCAGCCACAACCTCAGGCGGGAAGAGCCTGAAAGTGAGCTATTTCCTCGAATGAGTACCCCCCGCGCACCGGCAGCAGCCGCAGAAGCCGGAACCTCAGGGGGGGGAGCGCCTAACAGGTCGGAAAGTTCACCCGTTTGTACCCCGGTAGCCAGCTGCAACAGCGGGGAGGTTTGACGCTAAGGGCTCGAAAACGCGTCCGTGATCGAGAAGACCGGATTTTTTCGCCGCAACGTAGCTACTGGTAGAGGGGGCTATGTTTGACTAGCTGGAGCACTAGGTTACTTTTTGTTTTGAGATGGGCTCGGCATTTTTGTCGTTCAGCCAGGCGCGTCGGGCATGTACTAGGTGTTGTTTATCCATCAGAAAATCCATGAGAAAGTGCGAGTGGCTGCAGTGTGTGGCGAGCGGCACGTATGGATGTGTTGTGTGTACGTGTGCACCTGTGTTAGGCAGCGAGTTGGTGTACGTAGGCCTTAAGTCTCCATGCTGTCCCCATTTTCGTTGCATGAAAAAATGGTTTGTGGACGGGAAACTTCAAGAGGAAACAAGTCACCCTCAGTTGACCAATTGCTGGTCGCAGAATAAAAGAGAAGCACATACAATGGTTCCTAGCAGCCCATCGTTGGTGTCGAGACCTCGATATGGTCTCATTCGATTTTGGAGCGGACGTCGACGGAATGTCAACGTTAGCGCGTCGGCAAGCTGATTAGTATCTAGCTGTTTGAGCTAGCGGGCATCGTTGCTTGTGTTTGTTGCCATCGGTGAATCGAACGCCTTGCATAGATAAATAGATGGCATAATATGGACGGAAGTGCCCTCTTTGCTCACGCGTCTCCGAGTGACTTAAAGACACAATGTGACCTTCACGCGGTTTGCTACTGTAGACGTTCTTTGAAACGAAGCGAAACGTGCGGATGTTCTCGCGGGATCGAATTTTTCTTGGCACCCTCTCTGCTGTGAGGAAACCTGCATAAAAAACTACCGAGCACCTCTATAAACCGCACGAGGTTTCCAGGGCGCTAAGAAAGCGTAACACGATGCGGTTGTTTTTCGGGGGGGGGAAAGTGTTCTCGCTCCCGCTAAGAAGCTGCCGAGAAGGACGGTCGAAAGCAGGTCAGAGAGAGAGGGTCGTCCGTCAGGAACCCATCATGAGGATCAGGATCGGCAATGATACCCGAGCGGCGTGATTTTCGCGATGCACTCGCCGACCCACGCCCGCCCTAACGGCGACAATACACACACGCATACACACAACCACGTGTGTGCTTGCATGCGCAACCACAAACAGGAAAAACGCGGTAAAGCGATCTCATTGGTCAGTGCTTCTACCACCGCACACACACACACACCTCACGGCGGCAACACACGTCATCGTGTGCTTTGCGTGCGCAATCATTACAGCAGGAAAACACGAGGAACGAGTCCCATTGGTCAGTGTTTCTATGCCCCCCCGGCGAAGCGGCGAGCCCCAACCTCCGTTCATTGTCACCCCCGAAAAAAAACATACAGCATCCAACACATCACGACCCCCCCAACCATTTTTTCCATCCGTGTGTAGTCGTACCGTTGGCGTACTGTCTTTGTTCGTGTCGCCTTCATCCACACGTTCGCAAAGCGTGTTTAAAAGAAGCCGGTTCTGTGCAACGCTTACACCGCCGCAATGCCCTCAAAAATTCGCTGCTACCGTATAACACTGCCCCGGACAGAGAAGAGCATCCGTCTTCGGGCCGAAAGTAAAAACCCAAAACGCAGATGGATCTGACAAGTCTCAGAAAGACGATCCTTTCGAATCCCAGCGGACCAAGAATCAGTCTAAACCTAAAGAGGCACCCGCAGCGCATGCTTCGGGACGAATGTTCGCGCGTGCGCGCGCAATCCACGGTCATCATTGGCCGGTTTTTGGGGGTCCCGCCATCCCCGCGCGTTGTCGTCGTCGTCGTCTCTCACGCTCGCCGGCAGTAGGGCCGCTCGCACGCGCCGCGGCAGAAGTTCACGACGCAGCCGGTCTCGACGAACTCGAGCACCTGCTGCTCGGCGTCCGGGTCGTGGCGGACGCACATGTGCACCCAGCCCCACGGCGGCGGGGTGTCGTCGTCGGGTACCTACAACAGGTGCCACCACGAACGGCGAAACGCGAGAGGAGGGGTCAGGATTAGGATGGATCAGTGCTCACAGTAAAACCGGCGCGAATAACGCGATCTTTACAATCAATCGCAAAACCACAATAAAACACAACGTGACAAGGACAAGGCCTAAGATTGATCAGTGCTAACAAGAACGGTCGTGAAGAACGGCTTGCGCAAGAACGGGGAAACGTGAGAAGGACGAGGATAGACGAGTGCTCACAACAACCGGCGTAAATAACGCCGTATCTAAAACGGTAAAAAACACTTCAAAAAGTGATACGAGTGCACCCTCGTCGCTAACCGCACAGCAGGGACAAAGGGAAAACGGGTCTTGGATTCGTCGAAGCAACCGCCGAGCTCGCCCAGCGTCTCTCTCCATCACTTCAACACCGGATACTCTCAAAACGTTGCCGGAAACTTGCCACAATAGAAACTACCAACGGGTTATATATCACAACCTGGCGTACTCATGCTTTGCATGCCTTAGCGGCTAGCCCATTGCCAGCTTGGAGGGGGGGGGGGGGGGGGGGGGTACTCATAGTCGTGCATGCCGTAGTCGTTTGACCATTGACCTCGCATCCCTACAAAGCCGGGACGGAGCACGCCGGGTTCTCACCGGACCAGGCTCTCACATCACCAAGCGCGAAGCGCCGTGAGGTATTTGGCGAGTCGCATGAAGGGTGAGCTGCATCCTGCTAAGGGTGTTCGGCATCTTGTGCTTACTTCCTTGCGTACGGATGACAGCTACGTATGACTTAATATATTTTCTGGTGCTTTTACTTCCAGAGACAGTTGTAAGCACTGTGTAACTGCCTCGAGGATGCTTGACCATTTTAACACAACGTGGTGCGATCATCCCCCGTTGCGCGGAGTGAGGTTTCTCGACCCCGCACAACATGATCTACTCGACCACCATTATGGTTACCGCCAAAAAAAAAAAACGAGGTAAAAAAAAAAAAACGGTAACCTGGTTGCCGAGTTCACGAAGTGAATTGGCTTGTTTTACAACGTCGTTGCCAAGCGACGAAAACCCAATCCCGATGGCAAACACCGAGGGGGGGGCTTGTTTTACAACGTCGTTGCCAAGCGACGAAAACCCAAACCCCGATGGCAAACACCGGGGGGGGGGGCGGCTTGTTTTACAACCTCCTTTCCCAACGACCAAAACCCAACCCCCATGGGAAACACCCAGGGGGGGGGGTTGGGGGGTTAGAATGGAAAATTTTGCCGTGCGAGGAGAGAGGAAGGAGCACCTTGCAAGGGCGATAGACACGGACGCGGTTTGTCCCCCCCCCCCCCCCGCGAAGGAACGAATTGGCCATCGGTGATCGGTCCTGTGGGAACAATGCTCCGTCCTCTCGAGGACGCGTGGGTCAATGGTCTAACCGCTAAGGCATGCAAAACATAAGAGTACGCCCCCCCCCCTCCCCCCCATACCTGTTTAAAAAAAACAAAAGCCCCTCCTCACGAAGGAAAAAAACTCCGTGTAGGCCATTAAAAAAAAAAAAAAACTCAACCAAGGAGGAAAACTCCGTGCAGCCGTTTAAAAAAAAAACGCCTCCTCTCGTCAAGGAAGATGCCTCATTTTAGCCGCTTAACAAACAAAACGCCTCCTCTCACCAAGGAGGAGAACTCCGTGTAGCCAAAAAAACGCCTCCTCTCATCAAGGAAAACCACTCATTTTAGCCGTTTAACAAACAAAACGCCCCCTTTCACCAAGGAGGAGAACTCCGTGTAGCCAAAAAAACGCCTCCTCTCACCAAGGAGGAGAACTCCGTGTAGCCGGCACCCAGGATCGCCCCCTGCGATATCCCGTAGAACGCCAGGGGCACGGCCCGCGCCTCCTCCTCCGACAGCGGGGTCGCGCGGTCGCCGAGGAAGTCTCCCAGGCGCCGTGACACCACGGTGAGCGCGGCCTCTTGGTTCACGAAGCCCTGGTATTTTCAAGGCATTGCGGCTTTTTCGACGCCGTGCTTTACTGTCGTGTGGTAGAATGTTGTTGTTCACCATCGCGACTGCTGTTCTACAAACTAGCTGCTGCCCTACAAGCAAACCAGGCTGTCGATCGAGAGGACGCTCAGCACGGAGTTTTGTGGGAGGAACCCTTTCTCTCTTGGATCTACTGGTCTTCCCTGACGATCCCTTCCGTATAGTATCTCCCGCTCTACCGGAGCGAAAACGAGTTGAGGGTTGACAAAAATTCACCGTGTCTACTCTTGCCGGGTGGGCAAACAGTCAACCAAGTTACCAATCGAAAGGCCACACAGCCGCAGTCCCGCCCGGTGCCCTCCCCAACAGCACACATATACAACCGCACTGAGACTGGTGTCTTTCCATTGGTCAGCCGGTGAGCGCGGTCGACGCTAACAACAAAGAACACGCACACAACACGCATCCCCACTGAGACTGACGCCTTTTCATTGGTCAGTCGGTTAGCGCGGTCGATGCCAATAACAAAAAACACACACACGCAACAGTGATCCTGTCTAGCACACCTGCATAAGGTCCTCCGGCGTTCCCGCAAGCAGCAGCTCCGGCGCCGACACCAGCGCCCTTGCCACCACGGCAAGGTCGATGCGCGACATCCCCCTCCAGTCGGCGGCGACCAGGACCCAGGCCCCCCTCTCCGCCATCAAGTCGAGGAAGCCGTCTTCCACCTCGGCGCGGTCGCCGAACAGCCCGTGGCCGTACTGCACGAGAGCGGCCGGCCGCTTCCGCCCGAGGGCCACGCAGCGCGGGACTCTGACGACGAACCCTACCTCGAGGGTGGCGCCGGCAGATGCGGCGGCGCCATTGTTGTTGTTGCTGTTGTTGTCGTTGTTGTCGTTGTCGTAGTTGGCGTCGTTCTTGCTGACGTCGTCGTTGTTGTTGGCCGTCGTTGTGGTAGGCGTTGTCTCTAGGCCGGCGCCGCGAGAGGACGGGGACGTGAACGCCGGGGCCCGCAGCCTTCCCCAGACCGTCCGCACGATCGCGGGGTGCTCGGCGTTAAAACCCCCGCCGTCGTCGTCGCCGTCGTTGTTGTAGTCGGCGGACTCCTCCACCGACACCACCCGGTACAGCGCCGCCGACGCCGGCTGCTGCCCGTCCGACGTCACGCGCCGCCGCCGGCCTCCTTCTCTGCCACTACCGCTCCCCTCGCTTCCACTAAAACCTCCTCTGTCTCTGTCTCGATGCCCGGCGACCCCTGCCGGAATGCCTCCGCTGAGGTCAACACTCTCCCGAAGATGCCGCGGCGGCAGCTTCGCCGATGTCGGTCCCGTCGACGTTAGAGCAGCCTCCAGCCAGGCCTTCGAGGTCTCCCTCATCGACCGCAGCACGCCGAGCTGGCCCCCCTCCGAGGCGGTCACGAAGTCCCACGCGAGCTGCACGTCCCCCAACCCGGCGCCCACCAGCCCTTCCCCTTCCCCCCACCCTTCCCCCGCAACCGCCGCCGCCGTCCCTGCTAGTCTTCGTCTTGCTCTTCTTCCTCCGGGGGCAGCGCCGTTTCCGCTCCCTTCACCGCTCCTGCCGCCGCCGCCGCCGCCGCCGCCGCCGCCCCGGCCGCTGCCGCTGCCGCTAGAGGAAAGCGGAGAGTCGGACGGCGGTAACACCGAGCCACCATCGCCCTCTTCCGCGACCCCACCTGAAAGGGCTCGCGCAGAGCCGCCGACACTCAAGCCGCCCAGCCCCGTGTTTCTCAGGGCCGGAAATATCTCCCTCGAGAACCGGTCTGCCCGGCGGCGGAGGTCGGGGTGTATCTTCGTCGTCCTGTCCGCCTGCGACGCCTGTATGTGTAGTATTTTTGGTGGGGTGGGGTTGGGGGGGGTGTACTCATAGTCGTGCATGCCGTAGTCGTTTGACCATTGACCTCGCATCCCTACAAAGCCGGGACGGAGCACGCCGGGTTCTCACCGGACCAGGCTCTCACATCACCAAGCGCGAAGCGCCGTGAGGTATTCGGCGAGTCGCATGAAGGGCGCGCTGCATCCTGCTAAGGGTGTTCGGCATCTTGTGCTTACTTCCTTGCGTACGGATGACAGCTGCGTATGACTTAATTTTATTATCTGGTGCTTTTACTTCCAGAGACAGTTGTAAGCACTGTGTAACTGCCTCGAGGATGCTTGATCATTTTAACACAACGTGGTGCGATCATCCCCCTTGCGCGGAGTGAGGGTTCTCGACCCCGCACAACATGATCTACTCGACCACCATTCATGGTTACTTGTCGGGGGGGGTTGATTGGAACACGGCCTACCCACGTGGGTGTTGTGGCGAGGAAGAGAACAGGGTCTTCCAATTTTTCACAGATCTCTCACTCCTCTCTCTCCCTGAGGGATGGTTTGTCAGACGGGCACACCGGTGGTGCTGAAGAGGTGCGCACGCCGCAGTGCTGCCTACGTGGGTTGGGGTATACCGGTCAAAATACTCAGACGTGTTTTTATTATCTCTCATGTGTTGATACACGATACACGAGGGGGCTGTTCCACCGCATCTTCACCTTCACCCGGGGTTCGGCATGACCATCTGAAAACACCAAACGTAGTCCAGCCACCACCAGAAGCGCTGTCTACGAATACATGCACGAGCCAGTGTGCCTGCGCTCTTCTCCCTCTCTCGCTGTGCAGGTAGCTCGTTAACGAAAGCCACGCCCATGAAACCATCGGTCATCGAGAGACGTTGATGAACCCCCCCCCCCCCCCCCCCC